ACGTGCGCGCGTTAGGGAAAACCCCCCCCAAAAAAAAAAAAAAAAAAAAAAAAAACACATCATAGGGGTCAGCAGGTGGCAAGGTAGTTAAGGCTCTAGACTCTCACATGAATGACTAAGGTTCGAGTACTGAACCTGGTGACTTGCTTGCTTACTCTCTCTCTCTCTCTCTTTTTCTCTCTCTCTCTCTCCTTCTTTCTCTCCCTTTCCCCTTCTCTCCCCCTCTCTGATCAAATTAAAACAGTTATAATAAAAATAAATAAAATAAAAAGAAAAGTACATCATGACTTTTCCAACAACCCAATAGAATAAGTACCAAGGAATAGATTATCAGTCATAGGCTTGTATATTTTCAGCTTTGCAAAGATAATGCCAAATCCATTTTCCAAGATGCTTGTATTTACACACACATTGATCATGTATGAGAGTCCCAGTGTTTCACAGCTTCTTTAACACTTGCCGTTGGGGCTGGCAGGTGGCATGGTGGTTAAGGTGTTGGACTCCCACATGGCTGACCATGGTTTGAGTCCTAGATCTGGTGCCTTGCTTTCTCACTTTCCCTTTCTCTCTCTAGTCAAAACATTTTTAAAAAGGTAAATAATAATAAATAAAATTAATTCATTCTTTTTTTTTAAATAAGAACATTTGCTATTACTTGACTCATTTTTTTCTAGTCTGGTGATTGTGAATTTCTCCTTGTCATAGTTTTACTTTGTATTTCCCTCATTTGTGATGAGTTTGAACGTCTTTTCATGGGTTTACTAGCCATTTGTGTTTCCTTGCCTGTTCATGTCTTTTGCTCATTTTTATCAGTTTTTAGGTGTTCTTTATGTAGTCTAGATATTAATTTATTGTTGGTTTTACAAATGTGCTTATCCAGTTGTGGCTTACCTTTTCACTTGTTTTTTTTTAGGAGTGCAAGGATAATGCTGAAAGGAATAGCAAGGTTTATCTCCAGGGTCCATAAGGTGAGTCCTAATTAATCTCAACAGTTTGTGCACGTGGCTTTGTAGGTGGATTTTCTTTGTTTTAGATGGATTTCTTGTATCCAACATCAAATGTTCTAAAGTATCTCACCTAGCTGGTGGTGTATGTGGGGTTTGTTTGTTTAAGAATTATTTTACTTAACTTTATCATTTTTTTTTTTTTTTGGAGAGGTTTTTTGCTATAGGGCGCGTGCACTCGCCAGACAGACAGAGAGAGACAGAGAGACAGAAAGCGAGAAGTCACCCCCCGGGGGGATGGCCACGCCGCAATCCCTTCTCCTCCATTCTCCTCTCGGGATCTTGGGCATGCATGCACACACGCCCAGCGTGAGTTTTAAGCCACCAGATCCGAGATGCGAACCGTGGTTGACTACGTGGGAGTCCAGCGACATAGCCATTACGCTAACTGCTGGTTCTCTATCTATTTATTTTTAATTGACCAAAGTGAGAGAGAGTGTGAAAAAGCAAGCCGCCAGGTCTGGGACTCCAACCACAGTTAGTCCTATAGGAGTCCAGTGCCCTTAACCATCATGCCACTTGCCAGCCCCCTTATTTTTTATTATTTAAAAAAATTTGATAGGGAATGTGTGCCCACCAGAGCAAGAGAGAAACCAAGCCACCAGGTCTGGACCTCAAACCGTAGTCAGCCGTGCAGGAGTCCAGTGCCTTAACCACCGTGCCACCTGCTGGCCCTCACTAGCTAGTGCTTTAATTTACAAGTTAATATTCAACAGTCATAATTCCATTTCTCTGTTCATACACTTAATTCCCAGCTGCTATAAAAATCTTCAAATAGCAGGTCTCAATAAAATAGTCATGTTTGATGACAACCAGATAGTGATGCAGCAGTAAAACACGAAGTTCTGCGAGGCTGGCCCATGTGGAGCGGTTCTGCATTTGTCTGGCGATCTCCCTGATTACACCATCACACAAGTGCTCATGGTCCAAAGCTGGCTAAGGCGAGGGGTGGATCATAGTATCAATACCTGCCGGGGGTGCTCTCTGTCTGTCTCACTCACTCATGGAAGAAATAAATAAACTCTTAAAAAAAGAGGTAACTAGTCTTACTTAAGGATTAATTTCCTCTGCGACAGGATAATTAACATATTATTAAATTTTTTTTCAACTGTAGTTATCTTTATTCTCTATTTTTTTCCTCTACTTGGACTAATGATTATCATACCTTAATGAAGTACTTAAAAAATAATAAGTTGCCAATTTAGGCCTCTAACATCAAAATTCTACAGTGAATTGTTTTACTACTAGTTATTGTCTGTGGGGATGTTCGCTGTGTGCCAGGTACCTACGTGCATTATTTCTTCTATCCTCATGATAAACACACAAGTACAGAAACCGAGGTTTACAATGGCCAGGTAACTTACCTAAGGAAACAGGCTCTGAAGTTGCAGAGCCCAGACTGGATGCTGAGTGGTCTGACTTCAAAGCCTATTGCCTAACTACTGCTGTTGTGCATCTTACGGTCTGTACTCTTCAGAACCTCACAGTCCAGGAGTGGAATCATGAGTAAGCGACTGTTGTAGTGCGGTTCTGTTACAACACACAGGAGGAGCACCCAACCTGGATTAACTGAGTCCAGAGGAAATCCCTCCAGAGCTAAATCCTGAAGAATGCAAACGGAAGGGCTTGGTCACTTGCTTCTGATCATTTAATTACAGATTAGGTTTTCTAGAAGAGCAGGAAGTGTTCCTCCTCTGCAGATCTCCCACCTTCAAGGGCTTCATGAAAAGCCTGTGTATATAAAATGACCCATTATTTAATATAAAATAAAACTCAAGTATAAGGATCAACAGAAGGATGGATTCTGGCTTTAACTGATCATATTATATTGCAAGGCTAAAATTTTTTTATTAATACCAAATAAGAAAGACCTGAGTCTAGACTACAGAGAGATGCTGATGAGAAGAATTTTGTAGATTTTTTTTGTTTTTTCTCTTAATTTGGTTCGAGGTGACCGTCTAGAACAGATTGCCCCTCAAGTGCTGTTCTGATTTCAGGAAATACGTGATGTTCATTGTGAGACGGAGCAGAGGCGGTTGTACATATAGTTATTTTCCTAGAAACAGAAGACTAGCGGGGCGAGGCCATATATAACACTCTAGGAAGTACAGAATCCATTTTGCTCGCTTTTCATTTTTGCTGCAAAAAGCGTAACTAGGCCTAACTAGAAAGTTACCAGATTATTGTAGAAATAGCACCACCTTGTGGCCTTTTAATGTTTTTAGTTTTTCACTTGACTTTTGTTTTGTTTTGTTTTTGTTATAGGGTGCATACCCTTACCAGAGAGAGATTGAGAGGGAAAGTGAGAAATCATTCCTGATGGGGAATGGCCACACTAGAATCCCTTCTCCATTGTCCTCTCAGGATTTGGGGTACACACACACATGTGCCCAGCATGATTTTCAAGCCAGTAAGTCCCAGGCTCAAACCACAGTTGGCCTTTTGGCTCTTCGAGTAGCACCGTGGCAATTGGCAAGAATAAATGCCTTACGAAAGGCGGCAAAAAGGGAGCCAAGGAAAAAGTGGTTGATCCATTTTCTAAAAAAGATTTGTATGAAGTAAAAGCACCTGCTATGTTCAACGTAAGAAATATTGGGAAGACACTAGTCACCAGGACTCAAGGAACCAAAATTGTGTCTGACAGCCTTAAGGGCCATGCATTTGAAGTGAGCCTTGCAGATCTGCAGAATGACGAAGTCACATTTAGGAAATTCAAGCTAATTACTGAGGACATTCAAGGCAAGAACTGTCTAACTAACTTCCATGGCATGGGTCTCACCCGTGACAAAATATGTTCCATGGTCCAAAAATGGCAGACCACGATTGAAGCGTATGTCGCGGTCAAGACTACTGATGGTTATTTGCTTCATCTCTTCTGTGTTGGGTTTACTAAAAACAGAACAACAGATACGGAAGACCTCTCATGCCCATCATGAGCAGGTTCATCAGATCTGGAAAAAGATGATGGAAATCCTGACCCGGGAGGTGCAGACAGATGACTTAAAAGAAGTGGTCAATAAACTGATTCCAGACAGCATTGAAAAAGACATAGAAAAGAGTCCATCTACCCTCTCTACAATGTTGTCAGAAAAGTAAAAATGCTGCAGAAGCCCAAGTTTGAATTGGGAAAACTCATGGAGCTTCCTGGTGAAGGTAGCAGCTCTGGAAAAGCAACTGGGGATGAGACGGGTATCAGAGTTGAACGAGCTGATGGATATGAACCACCAGTCCAAGAATCTGTTTATAAAGTTTAAATTTTTAATAGTGACAAAAAGTCCTATTTGTTACAAAAACAAAACAAAACAAAAAACCATAGTTGGCCATGTGGGAGTCTAGCACCTAAACTACCAGGCTACCTGCTGTACTCCCACATGGCTCCACTTGACTTTTTTAAATCATATGCAAAGCAGTTTATTTATTTATTTTAGGTTTTTGCCATGGGGCGTATGCACTCACAAGAGAAAGACAGTTGGTGAGGGGGAAAGTAAGAAATCACCCCCCCAATCGGGTGACCACACTGCCACAATCTCTTTTCTTTCATTCTCTTCCTGGGATTTTTAGTCACACATGCACATACACAGCATGATTTTCAAGCCACCAGGCCTGGGACTTGCACTATAGTTGGCCATATTGGAGTCCAACACCCAAACATCATTTTTTTTTTTTTAAGAATTATTTAATGATCTTCCTTCCTTCCTTCCTTCCTTCCTTCCTCCTTTCTTCCTTTTAATTTGACCAGAGAGGGACAGTGTGTAAGAGAGAGAGACTGGCAGGTGATGTAGCGGTTAAGGATGCCGGACTTCCACATGGCCAACCATAGATTGAGTGCTGGACGTGGTGGCTTGCTTTCTTAATTTTCTCTCTCACTCCGTCCCTCTCTGGTCAAATTAAAATAATTTAATAAATACAGTTAAATCAAATAATTCTTAAAAGAGAGAGAGGAAACTACTGGGTCTGGGACACAAATCTCAGCCAGCCACATGGGAGTCCAGTGCCCTTAACTACCATACCACCTGCTGGCGCCAAACACCACACTTTATAGGCAAGATTGGGTAGTAAATATAGAGACAAAGTTTCACCTACTTTGGATGTCACCTCAACATGCAGCATTTAAGGTTGCCACAGCAAGGGAAGAAAAGAGAAATTACACCTGTTCTTTTTTTTTTTTTTTTTTTAAAGAGATTTTTGCTACAGGGAACATGAAGTGTCCAGAGAGACAGAAAGCAAGAAATCACCCCCCAGGAGGGATGGCCACGCCACAATCCCTTTTCCTCCATTCTTCTCTTGAGATCTTGAGCACGCATACACACGCACCCAGTGTGAGTTTGAGCCCCTGGGTCTAGGACTCGAACCGCAGTTAACTACATGGGAGTCCAGCGACATGGTCAATACACCATCTGCTGGTCCCAAATTTATACCTACTCTTAGCTGTGCTGATGAGGAATAACGCAGATTCTTCCACTCTTAGCGTTTTAGCCAGGAGTAACCATAGGACTCCAGCTTAGCTGCAAGGGAAACACAAAGGTATGTGTCTTTGGCTGTCTGGCTGGCATTTCTGTCTCTGCTGTGGAGTTCACTTACTATGTAGCGTTCTCAAAGTTGGAGCAACTCTATCTTTACACTGTTACTTTCTGACACCCCCAGTGATAGTGTAGAGTACAACATGCCATTCTCGGAGTGCCTGCAGAGTCCTGCACTCTCCTTAGCTGTTACCTGTGCCTAAGGAAAGATTCTTTATCCCCAGGGCACAAGTCCTATTAATAGTATTTATGGTATGGTGGTTACTCAGAGAAGAAGATACAGGATAAAAAGAACCTGATCCCTTCTCTTCCACTGTGTAGCCTAGAATGAGAGGCAAACACGTGTAAAATAACACGATAGAATAAAGAGAGATTTTGGACTCAGGCAAACTATGGTATGGATTCTGATTGTACCACCTATCAACTCCATGACCTTAGTCAAAATTACTTAATTTACCTAAACTTACTTTCCCCCATCATAAAACAGGAATAATAATAATCTACTATCTAGGACTCTAGGTTCAAAAAGAGTACAAGTAAAATAGAGTATTGCCTGGCTCGTGTCTTAGATGTTCAGTTAACAATAGCCACGAGTACAGTTCAGGCAGGCAGACTA